GGGTTATCGCTTTGCCGAAAACTGACAATAAATCTATTAATTTTATTGTCGTCGTGTTATCATTAGAGTAAAAACGTATATTACAAAAATTACAGAGGATAATATTATTGAGAGTTTACGTATTGGTTTTATATTTTATTGTTATTCAACTTTAAAAATAAAAATGATAATTTTAAATGATGTTTAAAATTCTTTTGAGACAATATTTTGACAAATCAATGTCATATACCATCAAATATATTATTTTCAATAATTTTTGTTAAGGTTGATTTTACTTTAAAATTACTTAAAAACATTAAAAAAATGATTCTGTGTAAATGCGTTGATATCCTCTTAGTAAAAATGTATTACAATTCCAAAAGAGTGATAGATACCTACTATCTACGTTTACACAACTTGAAACATTATTTAATTTAATTAAACTGATCGGGTGATAGTTCTGTAGCTTTTTACCACCATATATTTTATTGTATCCAATTATTATATTATCATAATCATTGTTATTATTATAATTTTATAAAATAAAAAAGTAGATTAATGTTGTTAATACATTCAAAATAGTAAATTGTCGTCCTTTCTAATTTTTTTTTTTAAATTAAGTATTAATTGTTTTTCTTTATAAATATATATTTATGTGTACACAATTTATTATTTAATAATTAAACTCTTTAATTATAACAATATTATAAAACAATATTAAAACAATATGATTGAAAATCAACAAAATCATGATCTGAAATAGCCTTGAAAATTACAATAACTTCCAGCCACGCCTATTATTTTAATAAAGACTGTAGAATTTATATCAATATGTAACTTTATTTTAATTTTTTTCCTGTATTTATATTATAACTAAAATTTTCAATAGCTATGGTATATTTGTTGATGATTAGGAAAGTCCATAGATCGTTTAATTCTTATGGCTGATGACAATGAAATCTAAACTACTATATATATATATTATTCAAATATTAGAATCTATTATAATATTAAATTACCATTATATTATGTTGCCGTGCGCTGTTTCACTTCGCTAAACGAACGTAAATATAAATTTTACTTTTCAGACTCTAAGCGGAGCAAAAAATGTTGTGTTAATTTAACTATTAATTATAAAAGATATATCCTTATTTTATTCATTATAAATAATATATATATACATATACAGTGATCGCCGCTTAATGTAATCACTTTGGTACGGGACATAACTGATAACATAATCCGATTGATAACATTAAACAAAAGTTAAAAAAATTATAAAAAATAATAAAATCTACGTTAAATACATAGTTAATAAAAATATAATTTTTTTATTTATTATTATTTATTTATAAATAAAGTACATATACGTAGGTAGGTATAAATTGGAAATTTAAAATTTAAAAAAAAAAAATTAAATGTAAATAAATAAATATATAATAAACATAATTTACACATATAAGTATAGATCCGGCCCGTACTTACACTTTTCGATAACAATAAACGATTGATAACATTAACCGTGATTATAATAAACGGCGACCACTGTATTATAGTTATTATTGTTTCTACATTTATGTGTTGATTCATCGGGAATTGGGTATCATTTCGATGGGTCGATCCTTGTGCGTACCTTTATTATTATATTTTAAACACATAATGATATTTTCAAATGCTAAGTTTTCGAAAAAATTAATTTGATCTGGTGCATAATTAAAATAAATTACTTTAATAGCAATATCACAAAATGTACTTTGTGACAAAAGTAGGCTGATTGATCGTCTCCGCTCAGAATATTTTTTTGTAAACAATGATTTTTCATTGAATTTAAATTTAACACATCCATATAACAGACTCAGAGTGACCCATTTAAAACCATATTTACATCCAAGTGGTACCCACATTTTTGTACATATCATATAAATAAATACATTCATTATAATGCAATAAATAAAAGCATGTAGGTGCTGGAAGTATTATTAAAAATATAAACTATACCAGAATGCTATAAAATTATATATTTATAATCATGATTAATGATTGTGTATAAAATAGTTTTTATACAATGAAGACAGTTAAATCATGAACAGTTGGAAATCTAATAAAATTTATTTTTATGGGTAAAATGTCTTGGAAAATTCTTTAATTATACTAATATTATTTAAATAATTTATACATATTATATAAATAAATAATAATTTTAACTCGTTTAATGTTGTGCTGAACGGCCACCAGTTTTATAAATAAACAAAACTGATTTCGATAATAATTTATGCATAATTAAATCATTATTACATCTTGATCGTATTTGGCAACGAATTCATAACAAAGTTGAAAAGTGATGCTACTAAATTTCTTTCAATTTTGAATTTATTGCTAAAAAATTCCATTCCCAAAACAATTTCACCTAAATAGTAATATAATTAAAAGAACTAAACATAACCTTTATTATTCACTAGTATTGACATGTTTTATTTAATTAGCTAACTGCTAAATAAGAATTATACAAACATTTTGTTCGGCATTCCAGTGACCAGAACAAATAATGGACATTAGTTATCGTGAACCGTAATTGTCTTACATCATTAAAAACGTATTAATAGTAATATAAAAGTATTCGACAACATTTTTGATGATTTACATTTTCGAAAAGAATATACCTACCGTAAAAGTTTTACTAATTTAAACAATAAATAATTAACTACCAAGTCTAAAAGTTTGTATATATGTAAATAAATAAAATATATTAATTTTTGAATTAAAAATAGGACACCGTGGCACTTATGACTTATTTAATGGTTTGATAAACGGCCTCCAAATTTGCATATAATATACAGAACTGGTTTCGATCAATATATTGTTATAATTTCTCCATCGATTCAACATGCCAGTGGCGTAATTGTGAAGGCGGGCAAAGTGGGAATTGGCCCCCAGACAATTTTGTGAGGAGCTAAAATATAATTTCCCTCCCCCCAGATAATCCAACAATACAAATATATAGGGGTTTGATCATGGTATATAAATTATTTTGCCCCTTAGATTTTTCCCAGTTACGCCATTAGGATATGCCATAATAGTTAATGGGATATAAGTTGTAATTTCTATTCAATATTGTTGAATATTTCTGTTAGTTCTGACAAAGCCGCCTAGGCAAATATGTGATAATGCGTTACTTAACATTTATAGCAATTAATATTACTTATTAATACTTAATTGTAAATAAATTATAATTAATGACTTTTTATCTAAAATCGCAGTCAGTTGGTTTCAGTAAGTTGATTTTGACTGGTCTTTTAAGCGAACATAAATAAATTGTATTCTATTACACAAAAATATAAACACACGCAAGATTACTAAACTTGAATTTGGTATTTCCTTATCTCGATTATTTTTCATTATCATAACGTACACTTGAATATTAATTGAAATAAAGTTTGGTATGATTTATTTCAATTTATCATCGATTGTAAGTTATATGAATAATTTTTGAATAATAAATATTAATAAGTTATAACTAAATATAACTAAGCGTTCAGTTTAATTGGTCGTATTAAAGTAAATAGTATTTAATAGGCATGTATATTTACTTGTATAATGTTAATATTTATTAATGACACCGTCCGGTTCAAACGCATTATTACAATGTTATTTGTATAGATAAGATGGTCTCTTTAGTAGTAAAAATGTTCATAATGATATACATTATTCATTTACGTCTCAATACGTTTCTGAGTACTACTCCGATAGAATACACTATAATTAAATACTGACTACAAAATAACAAGTATTTACTACCGGTTTAATTTTCAATAGCATACGTTTTCAAAAAATACTTCTCTAACAAAACATATTTCCTAATCAAAATAATTCCAAATAATTATAATACAGAAGAAATATTTTCGTAATTTTTACATTCAATAAATGTTATAACTTATAATTTTCAAATAAAAAAAACGGGTAGTGGTTACCGCTGTTCTAACTTCAAAGGCTTACAAAACTTTTTTGTGGATTTAAACTTAACTATTCAAAGATTTTTAAATAAATCAGTATTTTTAAATATTAATTTTACTTACAGAATACAGATTCCCATTTTTCTTTGTTTTTTTCTAATTATTTTGAAAATTACTTGTAATTTTAAACCTATTAGACCCTCCAAAATAAGTACTAACTAGTTCCAATTTACTACTAGAACCACCATCAAAGTTGAAAATCAAATCATTATTACCGTTTCAAAACTCAAAAGGGAATAACAGACGTATATATATTTTTTTAAACTCTCATTGTAAAATAATTTTATTATTATATTACTTAATAATTATATTATATTCAATTAAATTTATTATCAAGTCACTTAAGTCACTATTTTTTATAATTTAATAAGCATAACACAAATCCGTATTTATCTCGTATAGTTCGTCAGCCCTATTCATTACGCGATCCTGCAATTACCTATTAGTAGGTACTACATGGCATTCGACTCACACTCCCATCGGTGCATTTTATATTAAATTAAACGCAGGTATTTCGGTGCCTGGTCGTTACGCACATAACAATTTCACAAATTTGAAGTATTTAGCACCTTTTTATTGTTTTAGTACATGTGCTTATCGTTTGGAATATTCAATATATATAAATATATATATTTAGATTAATAGCGATTATAAAATATTGTTTTTTTTTTTTTTTACAAATACATAGTTAGTCTGAACATATTTTGGTAAATAATTAAATAAATAGAATAATTTTCGTGAAAATTGTGGTTAATGTAATAATATAATAACCACATTGGTAATATATACAATTAATCTACAATGCCCAGTAATATATAATTATAAGCTAACAAACAACATCGATTACATTATAATGTATCATTATATATTTTAAATTGCGTAACAAACTTTATAAATTGAACAATATGTAATTAACAACATCATCATACATAACATATAAACTTAATATAACATTCATTTTTAATGTATACAATTAACATAACTAATATATTTATATTATATATATATATATATATATATATATATATATGTATAGGTAATATATTCAAAGCATATAATAAAGGTTTATGTGATTATATTGCATAAGTTACCTGGTTCAACGAACAGAGATAAACAAAATTGATTTGCTATAGTCCCTTAATGAATAAGGTATAAAACTATATAATTGTCTATAACTATATGGTATATGATATAAATAAAATTAAGTTTATGATTAAATTAAGGTAGATAATTACATATTAAAAATCAGTTTACAAATTGTTCGAAGCACATTTACCAATAATTATTCATTTGTACATTCGGTTTGGTCATAAATGATGACTAGATAATATAAAATAATGTGATTATGTGAACGTGGAAATTATGAATGATTGATATTAAAGAAAACTGTGAGTATAAATAAAGCAAACAGTTATTATTAAAATATCTTAGATAGTTAGATATTGTTAATATAAACAAAGTTAAAAAATATAGATGCAGCGCGAAAAATAATTTTCCATTTACGATTTAGCAAAATTATTTTAACCGTAATTCTATATATACATGCATTATATTATAAGCAAAATACAACAACGCAATGATAATTATAATAATAGTAATAGTAATAATATGTGTAGTCTCATTATTCGTTGAAGGTCAAAAAAATCAATATACCCGAGATCAACATTATATGTTTAGGTAGGTGAACGTGATGGCTGCCGATGATAAGTAGGGACAATGTTTAAAAGATGTAATACCACATATTTATTGTGTATAGTATAATAATGATACAATATAGTATGATAATATAATGATTAAAATATTTTATAAAAAAAAATAGTATTGATGTGATGTATTATAAATTATTGAAGTAGTTGTGTATATGAAATTATAGAGTATTATCCATTTTATTCATATAGTTATAAAATATATAAAATAAAACTCTTTTCACGGTAGCAACTGGTCTTTACGGGAGACAGAATTAAACGTATGGGCCCCTCCTAATATGTATAAATTCAATATAGACGTAATATTTTCATGTGATCATTGATTATACAAAATAAGTATATTCGATAATACTTTATCAATAACGAAAATCGGACTACTTACATAAAAAATCTGAAATTTAACATCAAACGGAATAATAAGGGAAAAAATTAATGTTTTTTTTTTTTTATTATCTTATTGTCAGATTTATCAGACATATTAAATACACGTGTTTTCCATTAGTTTTATTACGGTTCAGAGTTATTTATTTTACTGTTTTTTTTTTCAAAAATGGTCATAACCTCTGGACGTTGATAATAAGCCCTCAGATGTATGTATACAGATAATGATATTCTTGACTTGACGTGAAATATTATTATTTAAGAGTACCTATAATAAACTTTTAAAATACTCAATATCCATATAATAATTATAATAATTGTCCTGCTGCATTTTCTGATAATTGTAAATATCGATATATTACGTGCTCAAATGTACACATTTTCTAAATTATAATATAATATAATATCACCTTCCGTCTTTCGTAAAACTTAATAATAATTTATTTTTTTACCGATACAAAATTTGTATTTCCTTATAATTAGTTACATATAAAATGTCAATGCATTCATATGTAATGTCGATTGCTCGTTATGAATGATTGAACTTATCAAAGTGGTATGAATCGAGACCTCTAGTAATTTGGATGATAGCCGACTTGATGCAAAAGAGAAACATATGAAAAATATATCAGATATTGCCTTCATAAAATGTACATAAGTTATATACTTAACTTGAAAATCAAGTTAATATCTTAAAATGTGTATGGTAGAATTATACTTTTAAAACTTAAAAAAAAAACAGAAAATGATGAAATAGCTGGTACGCGTTGCGTATAATATGATGTGGCAAACACGTGTACAGATTACGGTCCCTCGTAGAGGGTGGTCCAACAAAATGTCTTTAAAGTACATTGTGAGTGTTTAAAATACGTGTTTTTAGGTCACAATAAATGAAAAGAGGATTCTTTAACAATTGTTGCTACGAGAACACACAATACAAACGATCCATATATGGTACACGTCAAACCTTTGTCAAATGTAAAATATTTATGACCACGTAGGGATGGTCATTTTAATGGTGTTTAGAAATCGTGTTTTAAAAATTTTAAAGAAAAAAAGAAAGATCTTTGAAGCAGAAAATAAATAAAATCAATATATGAAAATAGTATTATAAGAATAAAAACCACACACACACACACACGAAACTCATAAAAATCGTTGACATGGGTCGTATCCGGTGTATTATATATTATATGAACCATGTGCAGATCTTTGTAAATGGTTTGGGTCGGACGGATAGTCCCCTGCAGACGATTGTATCGTTTGGGTACAAGAATTTATTGAAACCAACTTGAAAATAATAATAATAAATCGACAAAACAAGTAAATGTTCGAAAACCGTTTTATACAATGATCATATTAAATAAGTCGCAGAAGATACCTATTATATATTTTATTTCGGAGCCCCAGCCGAGAGCATCGTATAATGGCACAGGCGACGGTTGATGGTTGATGGCGGTTAGGTGCAGAGGGTATGAAGAACGGGCGGACGGATCCACCCGACGGGCGGTCAAATACGCATGTGAATCGAACTAAGGGAGAAAATAATGAATTCTATCGCATTTCTCAAAAAAAAAAAAATCATAAGATAGTTATTTCATATAATAATATATATAAACGACCTGTATGGTCTGGTGACTGGTGTATGCGTATATAATATAACTATTGGAGTCTCAAGTCGATTATCGAATATAATAAATTTTAAATTATATTGTGGAATAATCGTTGCAAGCCGTATATCACAAATTCTCCTTAGGGGATGATTGGCGGTGGAGAGGTGTCGGGGTGAACCTGTCTCTGTGGTCCTTATACGCGTCCATGTCGATAATATCTAATATACCACCCACCTCCTATCTGAGTTACACCTGTAGGTCAGGGCTGTAGTTAATTTCCACTAAAATTTATTCGAAATATATGCAACATAATGTATACTTTGTATCAATATTTCAAATTGCAAACACTATTCTCGATTATCTACAATGGCGAAAATTATAAACACTATTTTTGGCTTCCTGCAATAGTGCAAATCAAAGGCGTCCTCAAAAAATTGGCCACATATTAAGATATAGAAGGCTCGTGACAAGGATATATTATAACGTTTTCCTAAAAATGTATACGTCGGAGATGTTATACTATTGAATTTTACTTTTTAATTACGCGGCTAGTGCTATCTACAGAATATATCTTGGCACGTGTAACTGACCGATAACAGAAGTACTTTAGTGTAACAAAATTAATCGAAAATTTCCTTAACTCCACCACTGTATCATACTTAGTATGTATATACACGAATAAGATAGCCCTATATAACTATAATATATACGCAGTGGTGACTTATACTATACATAGTGCACTAGAGAACATAAATTTATATTTTTTAAACTGTAATTTATAGTTATTATGTATATCATAAAGTTAGTATTATTTTCAAAGTAATTTTTTTTTTAAGAAAAAAGTTATTGTTTTTGGTATTGATGATTGTGTCTGTTGACGATTTGATAATTTTGCGGTTCACTAATTCGTTGTGCATTATTTAGTACATTATTTTTGACAAGTGTATAAAACAATTTTATCGACACCTTATATGTCACAAAAATATTTATGCACCACCTTACGCAAACCCCACATGTCGCCACTGATATTACCAGGTATAGGTAATTTAATCGAATATAGAATCCACTATAGTTACCATAATGATGTTTATGTTTTGTAGTTTATGACGAATAAAACATTAAAATAGTTTGCCGTCTGCTAGAAATGTTGAATTCAATTAATTTCCGTATTATTTATTTTTCACTATCGTTGTATAATACAACTAATTCGACTATAATTTGTCATGATATTGTGTTTTAAAGTTATAACTTTATACTACTGTAATTATACTGCAGTGTAATACTATCAGTGCTGATATTTTAATACCACAACTCCGATTGTATGTAACCGCTTTGTGGTAACTAGTATATTATATATTATGCCCTTCGATCCCTCCCACGAATACAATGCACGTTATTCTATCCATGTATGTATCAACTATGCGCCGTGCGCGTTTTGAAAGCGACATTCCGTGCACCCCCTCCCCCCGCCCAAAAATCGTGTCACGACGACGAGTCCTCTCTATATCTAAGTTAGTCGACGGTCGTCCCGACTAATTCTTCCCGGTCGCCGTCGTCGCGACTGACGACGAACTGCCGAACTGCGATAGCTGCAATCCGCTGATCGCCGTCTGCGCTGACGTCGCGCCGCTGCTGTGGGTCCGCTTGCTGGCGTTGGCGCCGAAATTGTTAGGCTGGCACGACGACGAAAAGCTCGGGTACCTGTGCGGATCGCGAATGCCGAACATCCGGACAAACCGTTTGCGGGCCGACTCCGGCGCCCGGGCCAGCAGTAGGTTCAGCACCGACCGCTTCCAGCAGAATATGAAGAACACGAACACGCCGCGGAGGGAGTTGATCGCGTCCGTCGCGTACCAGTAGTAAGCGGGCGCATCCACCGCCCACGAGATCACTTCGAAAACGAAAGTCACGCCCATCAGGCAGAACAGCTTTAAGTACAGCGACAACCTGCGAACAACGATATCACGGTGAATCAACAACGTACTACTGCAGCGGCGCGCTCAAAGGGGAGAGGGCGCGATTTGGGGAAGGGGCGTATTTTCACTGTCACCTAATTTCACTTGGCATATTTATTATATGTACGAGTATATAAACATATGAAACTATTTTAGACTTTATGTTTGTTTTCTTTTTCTGGTCTACTTGTAACATAGACAAAACACATTTGTACAAAACATTAAATATCTAGCATAATATATCTTGAAAATACTATTTAGAAGCTTTTATAAATATTTAAATTAAAAAAATAAATTCATAAACATTTAAAAATTGTACGGTTTTCTAAATACTCGTAATTATAGCTTAAAAATTAAAATATAAAAAAAAATAACTAACGAGAGCCCCTGAATAATATTCTTGCCTTTAAATTTGGTTTTAAGTCAAATAACTCTGATATTTAAAATAACATTGATTATTCTGAATGCTAAGTTTAGTATATTATATGTTAGGTATTAAGACAGAGATAAATAAAAAAATACGATATATTATAATGTATTATGTCCTCCACCTCATGAAATATATATTTTTTAAAAAAATATACATTTTAAAATAATCAATTTAAAAGTAAATACCAAGGCTGAGTTCAAACATTTCGTTTTTATTTGTTAGTCTGAGGACAAAAAAAAATATTAAGCCACAATAGACGGTTGTTCGGAATATTTTTAAAATCGGTTTTTCATAAATAACAATATACTATTTCCAGGTGGACGTATAAACCTGTAACCCCTATAATGCTGAGCTTGTTGTTTATGGATTTTTTGTGTATTGTATTTAATGTTTCTTTGAAACGTCCATGATTAAATAAATACAAATGCATACCGTCCTATATGATGGGTCATATTTGAGTGGCGGCAGACACTGTCGACGCCGAGGGTAGATTGTGTTTTGTTATATATATATACGCGTTTTTATCATACATCTTTTCGGCGCCGATACCTAAAAGCAAGATTTTAAAAAGGGTCTCTTTGTATGTGTAAATATATTATATACGCGTATATCTAATGTGTCCTGCACATCTGTCTTGATCGTCCCATTATGATTCTGCAAATACACTCACAAGATAAACCATTTTGCCTAGTTCAAACAACTACCTACTATAATACTAAAATATTATTATAGATCACATCACAAGAAATGCATTTAAAAATTTTAGCTGCTTATCAGTCTCGATCTGCAAAACCTTTTAGAAGGGATTAAGTACTAAGTTATTTTAAGTACATCCTAATATTGATAAATTAGTCATCGCATAAATTTGTAATAAACAGTTTTTACAATATTGTTTTTAAACCATAAAATAGTTAACTATTTTTCCTTAAACGATTTTTGATATTTTATAAATCTTGAAATTAAGTATTTCAAAAATATTATTAGCGTTACACATCATTAGTAAATCCCTAAAAGTATTATAATCGATATGGTGTTGTATCATGTTATGTCAAATAATAAGTACCAACTTTTTCATTAACAACACAAATTTTACCGTCAGAATATAATATAACGATAAACTTATTAATGCTGCCGCAAGCATGCTTAACACATTTTGGTAATTGAACTTTAAAGTGTAAATAAATATATTTTACACTTCTCACACTACACGCCATCTATGTAAGTACAGAGTTATTATTGTCTACTCTATTCTATATATATAATATATATAATCGCATCGAATTTCACGAGTTTGCGTACAATATGCATTTAAAATAACTAAGTGTGATGTTCGAAATTTTTTTTTAAAGATTATACTATATTATAATGTATATAATTCTCACTGAAATTTGAATTTTGGTGCAATCCAGCAAAACAAATATAACATGTTGACGATTACTTTCTCCGAAATAGATACCCACTTCAACAGTTCATACAGATGTTGGTATAGAATATTAATAGAGCAAATATATTTTTGTTTATCAAATACCTAACAATGCTCAGTTAATGTGGCTATCTGTAGTTCAGGTATCGATATTGTATTATAGTATATTATTGCATAATAATGAATTCATGTTTATAGAATATATTATTTTAGTATTATTTAAGATATGAGTTATTGAATTATTAAAAGGGTTTATATCAATACATCGTATCTTATAAATTTATGTATAAACATAAATGTTTCATAAGAGTTTGAAAAAAAATTAGTTTTTAAATGTATATTCCAAGTATATAAGAAATGACTTATTCGCCGCAATATTTAATATTTACATTATATTTTTACACCAAAAGCTTATCGTTAAAATAAATAAAATGTGTGACATTAAAATATGACCTTTAGGAAATTGTATTATATTTTTATATTTGTTGGAACTTAATTGATTAATATTAACTATTAACCATACTACTATTAATTTTCTACAATTTATGAAATTATTATTTACTCTTATTTGAACGTTTTCTAACGATACCTACATTGAATCAATAGTACAAAGTACAACAGACGGTCATCCGGTCAGATAACAAAAAACACCATATTGTAGTTTTAAAGCGTATATACGTATATACTTCTTTCTTCTATTGAAATAAATTTAAAATATACTAAGCCGCATGGAAGGATCGGAATGCTTTTTGAGTTCGATTGTTAACCGAATTCGTGCGACCTTTTCTGAACACACAACCACATGTTATTTTCTTTTATTATAACATGTTCGTTTCTTCTAAATTGTCCGTGACTAAATACGTATGAATGTATAGGTGGGTCAAAGGCACTTAAATGGCGACACTCAGGCGGGCAACAGCACGACGACACGGTTTGACAAGGGTAGATAATATATTGTTATTGAGATTATAGAGAGTATACCTACTCTTTTTTGGAATTTGAAAGCCCTATAGAACCAGTCCCATCTTTGGGATAATATATTGTTTGCAATTGAGTTTCTTTTATTGCATTTTTATATTTATAGTTAACAGCCTATTCACCCTCTTATTATTAGTATATTTTCTTAGGTTTTTAGTTTATAATAGCATTCCAACAAGTTGACCTGCGATACAATATACCAAATACGTACTGAATCTGCGAACCCTCTTATTTTTAAGCCTATTGTTACAAACATTGAACACCTTAAGCACGATCGCACACGTCGATACACGAAATTTTAGCCGACAAAAAAAATACCGCGAGCACAAAAATATTAAAAGAAACCCGGCTTAAATCTGTAAATGAAATATAATATAAATAATATACTATATGAGTTCTAACATGTGGCTAACATATGAAATATACAATTAAATAGTAATATAACGAAATAGTATTGATTTAAGCATGTCGTACAAGATATTATTATGAAATTATGTAGAATAAATTTAAAATATTTTTTTGACATTATTATGTAATTTAATGAACTAAAATGATACCATCATTTCGATTATATTTTGAGTTAAGTTTAGTATATGTGTATGAATTATGGATTTTGAGTTCTGCATTTTAAATGATAACTGATATTGACATTTGGCACCCAACTACTTATACAGACACATTACTATAGATGATGAAGTGTGACGTGTATTAATTAAATTGGTATCTATCCATTTAAAAAAAAAAAAAACTTGTTATAACTTATAAGTCGAATATTAATAAAGAAGCGTGTAGTAAAATAATTAGTAAATTCGTTTTATGTAATGTCCATCAAATTAATAATTACGTATTTTTTTAAATAACGAACAAAAAACATCTTGCTTAAATAATTATTGATCCTATACATATTATATTAACATAAAATAAATGCAACGTTTAAAACCAAATGCTAAGCATGAGTTAAACAAAATATTATTTATATATGTCCACCAGGTTAAAAATTAAATCAAACAATTATATATCAAATTAGTATTATTTTTTTCGATAAAAAAAATATATATATACGTTATTTTAATTATTGGTTCTCTTATTCTCTCTGTATAAATAGTTTATAATAAATCAATCTATAAATGATGATTATATTGTAATTTATGATCATCGTGTGAATGTAATGAATTTAATTTGTACGTAATTCAATAATTATTAATAATGTTATATTTATGACCGAAAATATATGCGCCATACCAATTATTTTTACGAAATAGAATAATCCTTTTAGTAAAATTTGACCCACTACACTGTGCACTATTATTTTTTTTTTAAATATAAACCATGAAAAATGTTCATACTTATTTACCTCATATCATTATGATTATTTTGACGATTCAATACTTTTGACGTGCCCCTACGGATGAATACAATTCTAAAAGCAGTGAATAAGAACAGTATGAAATTGGTTGATAGAAGTAACCCAATAGGTAAATAAAAGAATACACCGACTGATAATTTATCTGAAAAATAAAAATCGGTAGTTAACAAAAAATATCTATAAATGTTTTATTAATAAATGTGCATATTTTTCAACGGAATTAGTTTCTATCTTTTAAATCAGATGTGTCGTATTGTGATAGGTATTTATTTTTAATACATGTGTAGAAATGAGTGATAAAATAAATATCGTTATGTTTATTACTCACTAGAAAACCAACAATCGTAATTGCCAAAATTTGGTTTATAACTACGATCACTAAATAATTGGGTGAATTCAGCTATAGCTGTTAATATTGTTATTCCAATGCTACAACCCCACGCGTAAGCTGAATAAATGATATATTTTTTCTTCTCGTTTTCAATTTTATTCGATGACAAAAGTAGCCTGAATCCGCTGTAATAAAACGTACATTTTTTATGTATAATTTATTAATAACGCTATTTGCATTTTTGTATAATTAAAAAAAATATTACCAACCTAAATGTCCATGCAATATCTGCACACATGACGTTCAACCAGAAAAATGCTGCAAGGAATGAAAATTGTATGACGAAACCTAATAGAAAAAATGTATCAATAGACAAATTCACGAAATATTAAATTTATTTAACAAAATTATCACGCATGATATGACATCTTGATTCACTCAATTATTTTGTCAGAAAAACAATTAGTTAAACCTATACAAATAATTTAGTATCAGTCATTAGTCATTACTAATTACTCATTAGAGAACTAGGTAACTACTTTTTCATTTACATGTTTACGTTTTTTAAAATAACCGAGATAATAGTAATTTTTTTTTGATTATAAATGTGTTGGTGGTATACACTATACCGTGTTGATAATAAGATTAAACTTCGAAATATTGTATTAATAATAATTGAATAAATTAAATATCCTTAACTTATTTTAAACTTCGTTAAATTTAAAACAACGGTTATTTAAGTTATTATTACCCAATATAAAAATATAAATTAATATGAATAAAAAAGTTTTCCACGAGTCAATTATGTTCAATATTTTCCGCCTCGAATAAATTATTAATTTCTAATTTTGAATTTTATTCTTAGTTCTTATAAAAGTTTTTATAATTGTTTTAATAATTTATTTTTCATTCATTTTTTAAAATTACACCGCGTAAATAGAAAAATATTCGCGATCACTGATAAGTACAATAAATTCTACACATCAACAATAGGTAAACAAATATTCTTTAAATAAATAATATATTATTATGTTTATTATCGTACATCACTTTAAATTTCGTATATTTAAAATACATTATTACGCATGCTAAATTAATTTAACTATATAGGTAGGTACCTAGAAATAATCTTCTGAGGACTTCGAAACTAATAAATATCATTTAAAGGGTTTGATTTAAAAAATTATAACCAAATTTTATTTTTTATTTTTTATTCCCATTTTATATAATTAAAATTATTGATAAAAAAAAAATTATATCCTGTAAGACTATTATTATTAGAATTCAATAATTATTATTATTTTTAAAGTTACCAACTAAGAAGTACAAGCAAGATCAATTTTGACAAAAAAAAAAAAAATGCTCACCCAACACTGTTAATTATATATGTATATAGTATATGCAAATATTAATTAATTTAATTTATCATAAATTATAAACTTGAATATAATACTAACTAAATGAATAAATCACTTAAATAAAAATATTCATTCAAGTTTTTTCACTCATAATGTTTTCTCTGTTTCACATACCTATTTTATAATAAGTACCTAAATTATTATATTTTACTCATTATTTATGTTACCTACGTTGTTAGTTAATTATTTTTTTTAAGTTGCACTTAAAATATATTTTATATATTAACGTTTTTCTTGATTTATGTCATATTTTCTATTTATTGATAATATTTTTTTGCACAGATGTACACGTACATTGTGTTAAGATTGAGATGCATATGTATCAATTATAGGAGTATAAATTCTTAGTTGCAACAACTGCCCGGCTAGCTCAGTCGGTAGAGCACGAGACTCTTAATCTCGGGGTCGTGGGTTCGAGCCCCACGTTGGGCGAAAATATTTTTTTATTGTTTGTCATAATTATAATTATTTATTAATATTTATTAGATTCTTAAACAGAGTTTTTATACTTTAAAAGAAGTGAAAGTTAAAAATTTTTCGCACTTATTTTTATAATCGGAAAAACATTTAACTAAATGTTTAAATTGTCATTTTCATTAAACAATCAAATTTTCAAATTTTTTTTTTAATTATTTATAAGCATGAGAAATGTTTAATTTTTCTATTATTGTTAATAAAAAAATAATTATTCTCTGGATCAACATTTTTAAAAATTTAATATACAAGATCTCATAAAAGTTATTATATCTGTATAAAATTATTAAAAATATATATCATGCACAATTTTATTTTATATGAATTTTAAATTTCGATTTGGACGAAATTACTTATTTCAACGATGATTAAATAATTAATGATGTGTTCATTAAATGTATTATAATTTTAAAAATTGTAGGACTAAAAATTCTATATTTTACTATATATGCAATAACGTTTTTGATTTTTTATTAAATAGCTATAATAAATTTATTATTTTTATTATTTTATGGTATTTACTATTTACAGAGAGATGTTATTAAATGTTGAGTTATATAAGTTGATATAATACGGCATGCACTATAAATGTTTATTATTGTAATAATGAAATACAAGTAATATTATAATATAAGTAACATTTTCAAAAAATAAATAGATATTATAATTGAAAAATATCATTCAAATATATTACTAAAACATAAAATAAATGACTATAATATAGCTTTATCACTAAATATCATAGATTAAATATTTATTTATTTATTTTAAGCAAGGTGGATATATCGACCTTGATTTAAAGCACGGTATATTATAATATACCGTGATTTAAAGCAACCACGTAGAATCATTAATTAGCTTAATTTAACGGACCGAAGTTCGTACTAATATAGTTTATTTAATCTATGGTGATATTGATTGATTTAAACCATTTTTACTCAGAATCGTCGTTCATACATAAATTTGATGTATCACATTATAATATAATGATATTATATCAATATAGCATTGAATTCAAATTTAATGTATCTGTAAAAGTGACCAACTCGAAATTCAATGTACCTACAGCAGAGCGGTACTCATTTATTTATTTTTTTTTTAATACGTTTTTTTAGTTAATAATATAGTATTATTACTCATTAGTCATTAAAAATCGGATACACAACTGACTAGATAACCTAAACCACCGATTTGAATGTTTTTTACTGTTTCCACTGATTAAAATAGAAGTGTATTATTGGTTTTTAATTTTAATGTACAATATAATAAGCACATTTAACAATCCTAGTGATTTAACATTTTTATAAAAGTCGACAAAAACTATGGTTGTATCGCCTTGTCTGTTTTTTTTTTCAAGAAAATTCTAGATAATACCTACACTTTTCTAAATCAATTAAAAAATATCTACACATTGCGCATATCAATTTTGTAGCCAAGTCACATAAAATACTACAGATACGGGAAGTCGGTTCGATGTTAGTATGTTACAGTTACAGTATCTATTCAATACCTACGTGAAATTTTATTTTTATGTTTTTGGAATATTTGGCACAATAGCGTACATTTCACATTGGAAATTTTTAAATTTAAATCTCTTAAACCTATTATTATTAACACACCGTTAAACGTTTTGAAGTGCGTAATCAATTACCTAATTTCTTGAGGAGGTCTAACACGAACAAAATGTAATTTTAACAAATCTTTAAGTTTTTAATGCAATGACTAGGTTTTTTTTTCAATACTGCGCTTTCAAGAGGACACTATACACACGTAAATATATTGAGACCAAAAACTAGGCTCGCACGAACGCGTTTCACGTGAGCTATAATCATTCTAGTGATTCAAAATTTTAAATGACATAAAAGGCGATTTTTTCTGTGACTTAGTGATTTTAAATTTTTCATCAAAATAATTGTCCGAGAATTTTTTGGAGCGCACTGCAGTCGGGAGTAACCGAATTGGTTTCCGTTTGGCCGAATCGGTTTCCGTTTAAAAAAGGTATTTTATTAGCTTAAGCCGAATTGGTTCCTGTTTGTGTATAGGTAATTTTTAATTTTTAATAATTGCTACAAAATATAAATTAGATGGTATAAAATAAAAATATACCTACACGGCTACACTCTATAGTCTATAGCAGTTAGTAAATATTTTTCAAAAAAAAATTTGCGGGCCAAGTTTTAAGTGTCATTTTTATACTTATACACTAAAAACTAAAGGCAAAGATACATACAAAATTCATTTATTTAAATGTGACTTAATATATTATGAAATGACTTTTATTATAATTACTGTTGCCAAAAATATTTATAAAAATATAAACAAAGTAGTTGTTTATATTTGACTTATTATAACTACAAAATTATCGTTGAAAAAATATGATGAACATTAACACAGTCGAGCTATGACTATAGTTGATTTCCAAATCAACTATTTAAAATTGTAGGTATATACGAGTATTATATCATTTTTTAAAAAACACATAAAACACACATTAACGCACATTTTTAACCAAGCCTAATTTTTAGTTGACAGTCCTAAGCCTGTAAAATCGAGAAGGAAAATGTGCGTAATTAAACGGGAACCAATTCGGCACACGGAGTTGGAGCTCGGGAACCAATTCGGTATCAGCCCCGCAGCCACGTGTCACACGATATTATAATAACGCGATGGTACGAGTTTTCAAAAATTTTCCCAACCCACAAACCCTTCGGATCGTTATGCATATTATATAATATTATAATATATAGGTACGTGCCAGTGACGACGACCGTTATCATAATAATTATATTTACCGGCGATGACGCATGCGTATTTGTTGAACAGCCCGCGGACCAGCGTGGTGGCCGCCAGCGTGGCGTACGACACGAACAGGCAGACGGTGTGCGCGATCAGGTTGCCCGAGTGGACGGTGACGCGGAGCTCGGGCAGCACGGCGTATATGAGCAGCGTGGCGGCCAGGAATATGGTGCCGACCACGAAGTAGGCGCCGTACAGTATCTCGCGGAACGCTAGCGGGCCGGCGGCGTCCGCCACGCCGGCGGCCAGTCGGCAGGCGAGCATCACGCCCGTGTACGTGGGCGGCGTCGTGTTCGCGGCGGCCTCCATCGCGTCCACGCAGTAGTCGTCGCGATCGATGGGCAACCGGCCGCCGTCCACCTGCACGCGGCCGTCCGGCAGCAGGCCGTAGCCCGCCTGCGGCTTCTTCGAGGTCTTCTTCGGGTCCGCGCCAAGCAGGTACCAGCCGCGGGTGCCGCAGTTCGGCGGCTTCAGGCCGTAGAAGTACAGGTCCTTATCTGCGGAGACGAGATAAATAAGCGCGTTACACGCGTTCCGCACATACACGGGGGGGGACCGTTTTCCTACAAAAATGAGATACCCGAGTACCCGCCGTTTACTCCGCCCAACGATTTCTTTCGAAAAAGAAAAAATTAATAATAGTTTGTGATGGCATTGAAAGTGTGCCCACTTTTCTCCGCGCATGACCTGATGACCTTTGTTTTTCCTACCGATTAAATAAATCGTATTATGACTTATGGGGATCTATTAAATACTAAAACGATTTATTTATTTATTTTTAGGTTAATTTATTAAATTACGATACGCATTGTTGTTTGACTCGTATTCTTGTACACAAAGCGTTTCATAATAATTACTGATATCAATGATATAAACGCCACGTAAGTTACCACAGAATTGGCGGAGATTTGTGTATTTTTATGTTTTAATTTGAAGTTCCAGTAAGTATATACCTAATCAAATCGACAAAAGGATGGCGATTGAAGATAAACGGCGGAAAAACATAATAGGTACCTTTACCTACCAATATCTCATTTTTGTATAAGTTGAACAACTAAACAGCGTTAACACTAGAGTAATTATAAAAATATCACAATATACAACAATACTATACTTTTAATAATAATAATAATAATGATAATAGTAGACTTTTTTTTAATTTTATTTTTTTTCATCTACTTTTAGTCGCAGTGTCTTTGCCATTATAAATTAAATTTACTTTTTATATTTAAAAAATAGAAGCACAGAAAAAACTATTCCTGAGCTAAATATTGTTAGTTCGAGCGAATCCGTTATATTATATAAATTATATGCTAGATGTAATCGGAGTATTTACTTAGATTCAATAACCGTTGAAAACAGTATTTCCTACCTAAATTAGGAGCTAGGTGAATTGAATCTGCGATAATTTGGGTTCGTTTTGAAAGCGGTAAGTTGGAGTCTCGGGTATAAAATAGTAGTAGGTAAGTTGGGTCCCGGCTATAAATCATTGGCGCAATTAGGTCTAAAATATTAAAAACTTAAAACTTTAACATTTCATATTTATATAATTTATTTTTGAATAATTGTTAAAATAATACGTCATATTGCATACCGTGTGGTACACCGCCTGGACACCAATTAATTCTACGCATGATGTTAATGTGTGTATTAGTGATGGGCAACGATATCGATAATTCGATACGATATCGATATCGTGACAAATTATCGACATCGATATTATTTTGTATTGTACGATATATCGTTATATCGAAAATAATATTTTTCAAGAAAAATACATGGTATTTACTATTTAGTATTTACTATTTGTAGGTTTTAAGCTATAATAAATAATAATAGGTGTCAGCTGATAACGTTTGGTGTACACTACGCGTGTTCCAGTGAAATGTCAATTATTGTACACTATTAATAATTCATTATAATGTTATCTAAAAAGGAAACAGGTTTTTTTTATATTGCCAACAATGTTATAACTTTTATTGAATATTATATTTAGCTGGCTTTTAAGAGGAATACGGTATAGTACCACACTACCACTGGATATTCCATAATTCACAGTGTAATTTGTGTCGTCGGTGTGATGTAAACCTTCCGTTATTTTTCGAACATTTCTAACATCGTATAGTGATTACTGATTAATAATCAAATTATTACTAAAAGTTTTTTTTTTAATTGTTTAGGTAAACATAAAATTATATTTTCGATACGATATCGATATCGTACAAATAACGATATCGCGATAAAATATCGGAAAAATCTGAACGATATCGATACACAAAATTATATCGTTGCCCAACACTAGTGTGTATACTGTATAGACAGGTACCTATATTGTAAAATTTAACGTACTATATTATTTAGGGTATTGACATTTTTTTCCCGGTACACAATTTTTTAATAATTTATACCATATATTATTTATTGAGAGCATAATATTATTATAAAAACCACATACATTTTAATTTATATATTTTTTTCCGGGACTCAACTTACCTACAACCTTTTTTTTTCCAGGACCCAATTTACCGAGATAAGGTCATTTGGGACCCAATTTATCAATCCCCCTAAATTATACGTGCCGCAATCGGGACGTGAAAAAGAAAAAAAGGTCAAACTCACAAACCCATGATGGCGATAAAACAATTGCACTACCTATTGTCACCGAAATTATCGTTATATTATATTATTATATATAGGTAATGTATAGTTTTGTGAATTTTTTCATACATTTACACATGAAATTAATGTTTATAATTATGTTCCGTCTACATAAATTAATATTAATACATAATATTTGAAACACTTGTTCACGTTAATCATATATATGCTACTAATGAATGTACATAACAATTCTATATTAATAAATAATAATCAATAATAATACTTGCAAGCACAATATAAAATTGATTATAAAATGTATCATACCATAATATTTTTGTTAAAAAATAACTATTATTTATCATATTTGTATACAAATAGTATACAATATGCCAATATCATATATTTAAACAGTGGCGTAGTTCAGTAGTTGTTATAGGGGAGATGATAGGGATAGATCCCCCTCCCAAAACCTTTTCTTTTTTTTTAAATATTGAATGCATTGATTTATACTCGAAGTAAGATTATAATAAAATTACCCATATTATGATATATCACGGATATAATTATGCAACATAGGGCTATAAGGGCATATTTATAAGCCCCCCCCTCCATTTTATGTTTATCCAATAAATGATATACCCATATCCTCCACAACAAAATCATATCTACGCCACAGTACATGGTTCTTCAAGGTTCTAGGTCACTTTGTACGGTCAGGCATTAAAAGTGCGAAACGCATACACTTTGTACGGTCTGATAAAAAGGTACATTGCAGAACGCGGACACTTTGTACTATTAATTATTATATACATAAAGTGTATATTATAAATATAAGTTTTATACATAAGTAGTAACTAATAATTATGTATAGTATTAATTATTAAAATCGAAAAAATAAAAATAAAATTGTTATAAAACATTGGTTGTATAATAATAATAATAATCTAAATAAACAAATAATCAATAATATCATTCAAACTACATGTAAAATTGTGTACAATATAAATATCAAAAAAATCAAAAAAAATGTCAAAAAGTAGTATAATATATAAATAGTATTTAGATGTTATGATTTTTAGATTATTAGCTAATAAAAAATATTATAATAATAATATTATAATCTATATTAAATATGAATGTCAAATGACAATATAAATATTAATATTTGACATATTTCCATATTATATTATACTATTTTTATTTTTATTGGCTAATAATCTAAAAATTATAACATCTAAATACTATTTATATATTATACTACTTTTTGACATTTTTTTTTTTTTGATATTTATATTGTACACAATTTTACATGTAGTTTGAATGATATTATTGATTATTTATTTATTTAGATTATTATTATTATTATTATTATTATTATTATACAATCAATGTTTTATAACAATTTTATTTTTATTTTTTCTATTTTAATAATTAACACTATACATAATTATTGGTTACTACTTATGTATAAAAATTATATTTATAATATACACTTTATATATATAATAGTACAGAGTGTCCGCGTTCTGCAATGTACCTTTTTACCAGACCGTACAAAGTGTCCGCGTTCTGCATTTTATACAATGGACAGTAAAAAGTGACCGTTTACCACAGTACATTTATAACTATTAGCATAGAATCATTAAGTACATAATATTATGTTGATGACCAACGAGTACGTGTGTTATAGCGCGTGTGTTCATACTCGAATAATCGAAGTTCTACTGCACTGTTTATGCACGATAAAAGCTATTTCCGAACTTCCAGATGTATCGTAGGAATAATAATATCATACACACATGTATAAGTTATTTATAATATTTCAGTCTGTACCGACGACATGGCACTACAGTGGACTCCGCGAAAACTGATTGAAATTAGACGAAGAAATTTTATTCATATACATAAACCTTTAACATATGAAACGAATGTATATATACTCTAATGTGCATAGATTAAAATATAATATATTGTATTGATTAAACGGTTGCATCCAAAAACCGCACACTTTTGATTTTGACCCTAAAAAGGTCGATAGCCAAAAACCGCACAGTTTATCGGTCATTGTATAACAAATTACCGTACATTTATAATGGGTTAAAACCGCACACTATTTTTAGTGAAAATAGTGAAAAGATAAGATTATAAGATATTTACTATTCAATAATCAAGTATTTAGTTTTTTAAAAACGTCGGCAGTCGGTTTCAGCCAATCAAACTTTGAAAGTTTTAAATTTTTTTTAAATTTTTTAAATACCTATACATTTTTAGTTTTACATTTTTTTTTTTTAATTAATATTTTAAATTATTGAATATATACATTTTTAAGTTGATATTTTTTTTAAATTAATATTTAAAATTTTTAAATACATACATATTTTTTGATGAACTATGAAAATAATGAGAACAAATAATTAATTATACATAATAATACGCGTTTTTTGTTTATCGACCTTTTTGGGGTCGTCAAAATCTTAACTGTGCGGTTTTTTGGATACGACAATTTTTAAAATGTGTGCGGTTTTAACCTACCAAAAGTGTGCGGTTTTGTCCTGTTATTTATCAAAAGTGTGCGGTTTTTGGAGTCAACGGATTAAACGTACCTAATTGTGTATACATTTCTATGAACTTGTATAGGTATCAAAAGGGGAAATTGATAATATTTCAATCGGTCAGAATATACTTATACAACATATCTATTTAAACTCTGCGTACACGAGCTGCTGCTGGATGAGATAAAGCGCGATAAATACAAATCGGGCCTCCCGATGTGGGGGGGTAGGGGATCGGCCTGTTTTAAATTTTGGCATCGTGAAAACCCACAAAAAAAAAAAAAAATAAACCTCAAGCGGTGGTGCCACAACAACGTCATGATATCACGATATCGTCGTATGCGACTAAGTGGGGGCGGGGAGGGGAGGGAAGACACTCACGTTGCAGTTCTGTGCCGTTGGCGAGTTTCATGTGTATGGCGGCTGTGGCGTTGACCGCGGACTGCACCTTCCGGCACCCGATGAAGTCGTTCATGTTGTGCTTCTGGTAAGCGAGCATGAGACCTTTGCCGCAGCACTTCGGCACGCACGTCATCCTCGAGCACGGCCGGCACACGAGCGCCACGTACCTGTACGTGATGGACTGCGTCGTTTCGTTGACCGCCGCCGCCGCCGCCGCCGCCGTCGCCGTCGTGGTCGAGGCCGAGGTCACGGCGGGCGTCGTGCTGGTAGCCGGGGCGGTCGTGGCCGTCTTGTGGGCGCTACTTCTGTTCACCGTGATGTCGTCCACCAGCGACACGCGGTCGACGCAGTACTCGGCGCTGGTGAACGTCAGCCGCCCGGAAACGCCGGCCGACCGGTTTTCCTGTCCAAACATCATCAGCCGCCCGTCGTCCAGCACGGCCACGTCTTCGTCGATGATGGTCATCTGCCGGGCGCCTATGTCGCACGGCATGCGGCCGTCCATTTCGAACAACCGGCTGTCCGGTTCGAACTTCGCCGACAGGTTCGAAGCCTGCAGGAACTCCATGTAGGAAGGTATCCACCTGCGGAGAAGGAAGCATAAAAATCGGACGTGAGCTTTCGGTTCTCCGTCGCGAATATAGGTATCTGGTATATATATATATATATTTATATATAATATATTGGCGAAAGAATGTATAAGGGATTGCAAGTAGTGGGATGTTCGAATTAAATTGCAACCTACATATTATATGCTGCGGCACAGTGGTATCTTCTTCTCGGGAACAATGATGGCGTAGTTATGATTTTGTTCTGGGGGGGGGGGGGATATATAATTTATCGAATAAACATAAAGCGAGGGGCTTATAACCGCCATACCCTTATAACAGCTCTATATTGCATATTATTTTATCCGTGGTTTAAACATAATAATATAGGAAATTTTATAATCTTATGTCGAGTACAAGTCAGTTCATTAAACATTAAAAATAAAGGTTTTGCGGGGGGGGGGGATCCATCACTCTATAACCCTCCCACCATAACTACGCCACTGCTCGGTAATTCGGTTTCGGTGTACGTATTTTATTTTCACGTTTTTTTTCTCCAAAAATTAGTTGTTAAACAATTTTTTGTCACGCGTGAAACTCGAGCAAACCGAATACGTTGTACAGCCCCCTCGATTCGCCGAAATTCAAAATTCGGAGTTTACCTCCTGCAGTCAATGACGCCAATGTTAACGGCGCTTGTGCGCGGGACGACATAGATATTTCGTACTTATGCGTATTTAAGTATTACCGACCAGGGTATAGAGTTGCTGTTGGAGACGGAGAACGTAAAGTCTTCCGGTGCAGTGGCTGCGGCCGAGTCGTCGTCCGACGACCAAGCGTACGACTCGCGCTGGCTCTGGCTGTCCGCCACGAACCCGGTGCACGAGAACGTGTCGATCGCCAACATCATGTCCCTGGGACAGCATTTGGTCACCTTGGCGCCGACGGCGGTGGCTGCTGGACAGGACGCCCACGCCGCGATCCACGCGATCACGTACGCTCGTGCCGTCATCGTACCCACTACGGCGACGATGCAGATCCGAACCGGAAACAACGGATCACGTTCGGGTGACACCTTTCGATCACTTCCACGCACTTGTGCTGCCGCTGCACCATAATTTCTGAAAAACGAAAATTCACGAGTAAATTAAAAAATTCAAATAATTCTTACGCGACCACGTCGAAAATAAATAATCTATGAACTTTCAACGTGTCAAATTTCACATGCAATTTTATAGCGGCAGGCTGACAACACACCGACATGATTGTATGATATAAAAATAAACGATTTCAAATATTATGAGAAATATTTAATTCTATTTTTTCTACGAATATAATACATACCCACTAGACTAACATACACACTCGGAATACATCGAAATACAGAGAAATATCGATCACGAGTGTCGAAATTTTAAATATTAAGACTGCTAACGTAAGACCACCTGATGGCAGGTTGATATATTTTTGCCTTTTGGTGATTTTCCAACTTGTCGACATTCGATTCGCCGACAATCAGTATTCACCTCACTTTGTTAAAATTAAATCATAATAAATATAAATACAATTATTGATTTAAATTTGTATAAGGTATGGTATATATTTATATAATATTATAACAATACAAAGTGGACAAGTAGGTAACCGCTCAACTGTACAGCAAATAAGTGACTATTACCTAGTCTTTGAGTGTAGATATATAAAATAACAATGGATATTTTAAAATTTAATTTCTATAATTGAATAACAGTTAGGTATAATAATTATAAATTATATATTTATAATTGTTATACACCACTGCATTCGAATAATTATTATTCTTAGTGGAGATGGTTTTTCAACCAATATTAAAAATTATCTATTGAATTGATTGTAATATATTTTTCTTATCGTTCTTATAAACTTTTGAACTATTACTCACTTATCGTAAATCGATGTGAATAAGTTCATGGTATAAATGGGCAATAATATAAAATTAATCGAATTAATAATATGATAACAACGTCATTGAATATAGTAAAATGTAATAATATAATACGTACGTTAAGGTTTCAAATCCTCATGAACAATATTTTTTTACTCAAACTAGATATCGAAAAATACATACAGCAGAACAAGTTCTCTGTTTTTATTCACATAATATACGATTTGTATGATGGATAGCAAGAGTAATTCTAATGTATTTAAATCATTGCATGTTATTGATAAAAGGGTAATTTTTCACGATTTACATCTAGTTTTATATTAAATGTATCAAATAATATTAAAGTAAAACGAGCAACAAGCCGTATTAACTGAAAAAAATAAGAATACAAAATAACACATATATTTTATCGTAGATAAAGCGAGTCTCCCAGGACCAGGAGGTTGATACGCCGCAATGTGTATCATACCTAATAATAAATTATAAAACATAAATATGAATACGTTATTGCTGTAATAAATTGTGTTACACGCATGGCGTGTACCTTATTGTAAATTATCAACGTTATATACATAGAAATTTATCCTGAGACCACACACTACACTACAGTGATATTATATTTGATTGTTAGTAATGCAATGTATTATTGTAAAGCTAGATACATTATTATTATGAACACAATACGGATGGTATGAGGAAGCGTAGTAATTAAATGCATTTCGACCACGAAATATTTTTTTCGATAAATATTATCAATTACCTACCAAATGCACGTTGATATCATAATACTGTTTTGTGCACATATTATAAATAGGTTAAATCAGAGGTAACCAAAACCGACTGATATTAGACTCGTTAAATAAAAACATAATTACATTGCTGCGCTAAAAACCACGTCAGCAAAACTTACAATTGGTCGAATTTTGCAGGTTAAACGATACATATCGAATATAGCGTGTCGTAATCGTCTTATACTCTAATGCGGACTAATTAGTTCATTTATAATTCATGTACCTATACGATAATATGTACAATAATATACTAATACCGATAGGTTGAAAAGTACACGAGTACCTACTTATTTTTTTTTTTTAGAATTATTTTTCAGGCACAAACATACTTTAAAAAAAAGAATACTGCTATTTTAGTTAATATTGTATTGTACATAGCTTTGAAAGAAAATTATAACTGAAAAAATCGATATTAGTATGTGTATTATAATATGTACGACAGGTATTTTAATAATTCTCAAAGACATTGATTTTGTCCAAACGATAAAATAACCATTTGAAGCCTGACCGCGAATACACAATTTAAATAAAATTCATATTTCTTAAGATTTTAAAATAAACAGCGAATAAATTAGAAATCTAATTTATATTGTAAGCTTTAATACGTAGGTGTATTCCAATATTTCCTATACTCCTATAATTATAGGATATTATACATACATTATTTTATTATATAATATCCTCATATTAATTGAATAAGTTTGTTGAGTATTTTTTATAAAAATAAAAATAATTTATCATAATATTGATTTAAAAATTTGGTCTTCTAGCTCGTATAATTTATCTCTGATTTATTAGACTGTGCATAAAGTTCTAAATAAACCATTTAAATACTATACATTTTTATATTTTGGAAATTATAATATAACTATACAATCAAAATGTATTAATGGAAATTTGTTAAAATAAAATAAACTACGTCGTTATTATAACCCTCAAGAATAATATTAACGTATTATCATATTATAATTTTTTAAGTTAAAACTAAGATTATTGTTAATTATTGAGACGACTTATCTATTCTTAAAAATATATTGTTCCATGTATGTTAGTCAAATTTAATATATTATAATTGTACATATAAATTAAATTACACACAAAATAATGTGGCCGACGAATAAAATATAATGAATCATATCTATAGGTCGAAAATCAATCCATCATTATTTTTAATGTGTACGATTCATTTGAAATATTTAATGATTTTTTTATCTAACTTAGTTTACTCAAAATATTAACATAATTGTAATAAAGATTATTTGATTTGTTTAAACACGTGTTAAATGTCAATTTGATAAAATTATGCGTAAAAAAAAATAGTGTATCAAACAAATTATATGATATCGTGATATTAAATAGTACGTCTAGTACGGCTTCATTTATGCAAATTCAAAAACAAATATCAAACAACTTAACTAACTTAATTGTTAGCTAAAAATAAAACAGACCATTTTTTTAAAAATTAAGACTAAAATTGTTATTAATAAAGCAACCTAGTCTATCCAAAAACAAAAAAAAATATTCCAAGTGTGTTAATTAAATTTAATATTTTATAAATTATTACACACAAAATAATGTGGCCGACGAATAAAATACAGTAATGAATCATATTTTCAAGTCAAAAATCCATCCGTTATTAATATTAATTTGTTCGAGTCATTGGAAACGTTTAATGGTTTTTATTTTTTTATTTTTTTTTATCTGGTTTAATTTACTCAACATAATAATATAATTGTAATAAAGATAATAATTATTTGATTTTTTTTCGAACACGTTATAAATGTTGGTTCGACATAATTGTGTGGAGAAATATATAATACTAAACAAATTATGAATGCCACGATATTAATAACTGAATGTTCTTTTATGACCCTTATACACTATGTGAATTATTTGTGGGCGGACGTGATTGTAACTCGCTGCGAACATTCGTTTAAAATTAAACAGTTTTTGTTTGACTAGACCATTCACACTACAGAAAACGAGTGCAGAATAAAACTGCCATCGCCGCGAAGATTAAAAGACGGCATCTGAAACTAAACAGTTAGAAACCTAGCATGATACGTATTTTAACTTCGATAACAGATTCATATTAAGTTTAAATTCAAAAACAAGGAACAGTTTAACAGTATGAACTCTGCAAGTATCAGCTATAAGTGCAATCACAATCTCTAACTCGGAGGAGGGCGGACTGGAAAAATTAATGTCATACAGATTCATAAAAGCTAAGCATCCCCCTCCAACACTATTTCTGTATTACTTCAAATTTTATATCATTAGTTAAATATTTCTTAACAGATTCCACAGTAAATTATTCATTCATTTAAGTAATACTTTTAATTATTTCGTTCAAAATGTATTTTAAATTTATTATTTTTTTTACGCCAATATGGCAATATATTAAACATAAGTACTTACATATTTTACACTTTTCAATCATATTAGGGTAACAATACATACATAATACCTGTAAATTCTATACGGGTGGGGCAAGTTGGGCAGCTGCAATTCAGATGAGTCAATTTTATCGTCCAAATCAAGTATATAAATTGCTGGAAATATAATAAGGCAATCTAATATCTAAAATCATGAGTAATAGCAATAAATTATCTTTGAAAATATCTACAATAATAATTATGGACAAGGACTGTGTGAACAAAAATTCTTCCAACGCCTCCTTCTCCTGTCAGCAATGTCCGCGTACGCTTATGATTAACACATATAGGTATAGGCATTTGTGTAATTGTCTATTAAAAACAATTATTGTTTTACATAAATTAATAACCAATAATATTATAAATTAAAGTGAAACAACGTCTTGTTTATTTGTTGCCATTAAATACTTTTAGACATTTATTTTAATATTTCTTCGCCAATTATTTTACTAGATAACATGTTTTTTACTATATTAAATTTTCAACAAGGCAGTGAATATAATATCTTACACCATTGAATTACGCAGCCGTTATTTTTCATACTGCGTACATCAGAAAAATTCCATTCTTAAGTACTTACCTATCTACAGGAATATTTATACTAGCAATGTTAAGCGTAATAATTGTATTAATTTCTATTTTTATTTTGTACAATAGTGTCGCTAACCATATCGTCTTCAATATGAACTACTTTGATAATTATTAATATATAAACTTTTAGAAAACTATATTCAGTATCATTTAATTTTGAAGTAAAAAATCAGTATGTAGTATGTACCTATATTACACTTAATTTACATTTTTAACGAAAAGACGATGTGTTTTAAAATCCTAATGTAAAGCTGATAAATATTCAATCGTTTTAGAGAGTGTAGTTTTGTAGAGCTGAGCGAATGAACAGCTGGTTTTTAATAGTAGTATGCATTTTCGTTTTCAAAAAAATTCTTATATAACATAGTGGCAATAAAATAAATCATAAGATTATTCTCAGAAACACGTTAAGCTGCGTGATATTTTGTAAAGGGACCTGCAGTGTATAGTTTATTGTAGTTTTCAAGAAAAACGACAAAAAAATGTGTGTGGACGATTCCAGCACAATGGATATCTTTCGATCAATCTTTAAACACTGTACGAGCAAATACCAAAATGTACCTTTTATGTTTCATGTATCCGCTGTCACACCCATATTGGCCTTAATAATTTATGACATTATGTAGTGGTCGTTAGTTGTTATAAGCGTGTAAATTCTTCAGGGTTTTTTTTT